TGAGCTTCGTTCTCTGCCATGCGAGAGGGGAAAAAATCTTGGAGGCACCTTTGCCGTCCCCCCGCGAGAACAGCAAGCCAATCGCCGACGATGAGGACGTGTGCCAGAGAGGGAATTGCACAGCATGGGTTCCTATATAGACTTTTGATGAGTGTACAAGCTATCATAGTCGCCATGATCATGGAAGGTGCATCCCCCAGACAACTGGCACTTACCATCACTGCCACGTTTGCAAAATACAAGGTCTTCCCGTTGTGGAGCCCTGTACCAGCAGCAGCGGTTGGAGATCAAGGTCAATGCTGCTGCTGCTGCCCGCATCTCTGCATGCTCCTCCGATTACCTCGGCGTCACTGCCTCCACCATCAGCATCATCGTCCCCATGCGACTGCCCATGTCATCCCCATCCTCGTCGTGGGCACTACCATCGACATTTTATCACCATGTTCCGCCCTCACATTTCCCATTTTAGCATCACTCGCAGCAGCTTCCGCACCCGTGCCAGGAGTCTGCTTTGGCCTGCACCCGCACCCTAGAGGACGACGGATTGGAGGAGTTTTGGGGCTTCCGAGGTAGATTGGTTTCCTGGCTACTGCTGTTCCCTTGTGTTTTCCTTGTACGACCGAGGTCAGGATTTTAAATGTAGGCTTCAGGGTCAAACGCTTTCCGAGGTGGTTTAGGCCTGCAGTTGTCTCCACCGGACTGGCAAACTTAGACTTGCTGACTGCTAAAAGGTCAACAAGTTGTTCCATACATGTTTTCTTCTGTGCACGAAGCCATAGACCGAGAGTCTGACGTGCACAGGTCACACGGACCAAGGTCATTTTATTTTTTCTGTCGCTGTATCATCCATCCCTGCCCTGTCTTTATGTTTTCTCTCGCTTTCTCTCTCCTGCTCTGTCTCTTCGTTCCGTCTATGCTGCTCGGAAGCAAGTTGGCAATCGGTCTTCCTGTGCTCCAGTGCCAAAGCTGCACAGTTGTTACATCAGCACGTACGCGGCATTCATTCATTCGTTCATTCACTCATTCATTAATTCGTTCCTTCATGTACTGATTCGCTCGATCATGTTATCTCCTTTTCCATTTCATTAACGCCTTCCATCCACACATCCGTGTATGCATGCATGAATCCATTCATTCAGACGCTCGCAACGCCACAACCGCCTCCGACAACAAGGACAACGACATCAACAATTGCAAAACGCAGCAACTACAGCCACAACAAACAACAACGACAACAACAACAACGACGACGACCAATAGCAAGAAGGCGACGTCAACGACACATCAACCACAACGGCAACAACAGCGAACCACACACCACCGCCGCCACCACCAGCAGCAACAGCAACAGCAACAGCACCAAGAGCACCAACAACAACACCACCACCACCAACGCCACCGCCACCACCACCACCACCACCACCACCACCACCAACATCACCGCAACAACAGCATCAACACCAGCACCCGCAGCATCAACAGCAGCCGTCATGATTATACTGGGACAGCAGAATCTCAGCAGTAGTGCTAATAACAGTACCAATCCCAGCAATCATAGTAGCAATGAGCAGGAGAAGCTCGGCACCGGTGACGAACCGACTCGGCCGTCGACGACGGCAGTGGCGCCTTGGCACCAGCTTCCCCACCGCACAGCCAACTCGAGCAGGGTGAGGTGACCTACACGCGAGTTTTTCTCCAGCAGGCAATGTTGAGCACGAAGCCCAAGAGAGTGAGTTGAGCAGTTGTTTTAACGAAGACTGGGATGAGACCCATGATTCGCGTCTTTCTACTCGGGACCTTCTTACAACAGCAGATAATAGCTACGGCTCCGTTGCTACTCCTTCTCGTACGTTTGCTCATGCTTCATCGCTGCTACTGCTGCTACGACCACCACCACGACGACGACTACTACTACAACTACAACTACGACAACAACAGCAACAACGACAACAACAACCACGACGCCGACGACGACAACAGCAACAACCAACAGTCATGAACCTGAGTATTTTTTCCCAAGCATGTAACTACTAGTCTACCTGACAGATACCATGGGATATGAACGGATAAAAAGCATATAGGAAGCCACGATGCGCTGGTTCAATTCCCGAGGTATAGAGACAAGCTTATAAGGTAAAATCAAACACGGCAGGGCAGGTTTGGCGCACGTTCGACAGCATGTAGCAGGAAAGCTCAAGACAGAGGGAGGCATGGCCAGGAATGGCATGGCACACAAGTATGCAACGAGCCATCATGATGCGAAATCTTGCAGTACTTCATCGCAAAGTTCAAGAAAGCATGGGAATCTACATGTGCCTAGTTAGTAGTTACAACTTCTCACATATCTCAGCATAGCTACCAAATCCGCAGTGGCTGACGACAGTAACCAAATAGCCTAGAAGAGGATAGTCTCCTCTCAATGCATTGCGGTAGAATTAGGCACCGGAACAACCATGTCCATCTTCGGTACCGCTGAGTACACTGCGGCAACGAAAGGAGCAGCATCGCAGCGTGGTGCAACATAATGCAAACCAATGCAGAAAAAACCAGCATCATGGGGCCTTTTTAGGCCCACTTTGCTACTGAGCTTGGCAACATCAAGTTAAAGACCTTTCTGTGCCAGGCAGCTACTTTGAAGCTGTGGGTGTTGCGGTGCTGCAGCCTTACATGTGTTGCTGAGATTATTTCCACTGCAAAGGGGCTGTGGCAGGCTTGCGATACGTCTTAAAGACAGCATTCCTGAAGCCGGAGTGGCGCCAAAACGATGTTTATGTCAGCTTGCACCCCTTCAGCACAGGTGCCGCTATTTCGAACCCCTGATGTGGCACTTAGGCTTGAACGACAGGTGCAGAAGATGTCCTGAAGATGTGCTGTAGCCGTTGGTTTTGGAGGTAGGAGGCTCCGATATTACGGCCGGATGGAGGATCGCAGCAGGCACTTCACGGGCCGGCGCATGAAGAGTGGGCTCCTGGACTACCAGCAAGGGGCCTTACACTTTCTGAAACAGGCCCTGCTGCCGGAGGGGAGCAAGGCGCTGCTTGCTCTCGACACAGGCCTCGGGAAATCTGCGGTGGTGAAGGAGTTGGTAGATTACCAGTGGCTGGAGAAGGGCTTCCGCAGCATCGTCATCGTGCCATCTACCCTCGTCGACCAGACGGTGCGGACTCTCGTCTTCCCACCCTGGGAGAAGCCTCCAGCGTGGTTCTTGCAGAGCAAGAATTCCAAGGCCAAGCAGGAGCTGCTCAAAGGCTTCGGCGTGGCGACGCTGCGTAGCATTTCAGATCAGAAGGCTCTGCTCGCGACCCCTATTGGTGAACGGCCCCACGTCTTGGTCTGCAATGCCGCCTGCCGAGAAGCTGAAGCAGGCAACTTCAGTGGACTCCTCTTGGACCGACACCTGGTGGTTGTTGAAGAAGCCTACAGCCCCAGCTATCACACTTGTCATCTGCATGCGCATGCACCTGAGTCAAGCAGGATCCTGTTTGTGACTGCGACCCCTGACCGGCTATTGAGTCGCGAGCCGGAACTGCGAGGTCAGAATCATTTTCGAGTGAAGAAGACGCCACAGCTGCTGCTTAGCCTCGGGATGGCCGACCCAAAGCTGGAGCTACTGAAGTTGCAGGAGACGCAGGCAAGCTTCTTCAGCACGGGCCGCTTGGGTGACGGATTTCTGCGGCCCTTAGCCATGCATGCTCTCGATGAGCAGTGCCTGCAGCCTTTTTTAGAGCAGCAGCCTCCGACCTATCTCAAATCCTGGCAACAATTCTTCGATAGCCTGCCAGAGGAGACGTGCAGGTCACTTGCCGTGGACTATGGTGGTCCGGTAGTCAGGCCGGGAAAGCCTTACGATTCTCAATTCCTCCTTTGGTCCTTCCGAGCCATGGTGGCTGCTTCACCAGGAAGCCTTACAAGCTACCTCCGTGCAATGGCTAAGGCCGCGCATCAGCAGCATGGCAGGGACACATGCAGATGCTGTGCGTTGACAGAGTATCAGCTCAGCGAGATGGCGGGCGCTGAGAGAAAGAGCAGTTTGTTGGAATCCGTGGAGTTTGTGACGAAGACTCTCCGACAGGAGCTGGCACCCGAAGTGCACGGGCGAGGAGGCTATGACCTCGGCAGGTTTGGTGCAACCATCGTACGCTGCTCCTGTTTGGAGACCATAAACCAAGTGGTCCAGGACCTCAGCTCTGACAGCTCTTTCGAAATCCACAAGCTCACGACTGGTTTATCTTCAAGGCAGCGTACGAAAGTCCTTCAATCCTACACGTGCTTCAAGGGCGACCGTGCGGCCATGTGCGTGCTGCGACGTGGCAGTGATCAGCTTCAGGCTCAAGGCAGCCCCTTGGGTCGAAAGCCTATCCTGGCTCTTGTGTCCAAGTTCGTCACGCGCCACCATGTGCTACTGGCAGATGCTTCCATCGAAGTGGGCATTGAGTCGCTGCACCGCTGCACTGATAGTGTGATTCTGCAGCAGTTGCCGACCGCCTATGATCAGCTCTTGCAGCTGGGTGGTCGCGTCTCCCGGCTCGCATTGGACTTGCCGAAGCCTCAGCCGCCCATCGTCGTGCGGTGCCCTCTTCGGATCGGCACCGTGGACGAGCTCCTTGCGCGTCACCTCAGGGCCTGGCACTTGATGCAAGTCGTAGCCCTAAACCCTAAACCCTAAAACCCTGAACCCTAAAACCCTAAACCCTAAACCCTAAACCCTGAACCCTAAACAACCCTAAACCCTAAACAACCCTAAACCCAACGACGTTGCACAGACTTTCGCCTAACGCTCATAGGGTTCCTCTTTGATTCTGTGAGATACCAAGAACTGGCATGTCGTAGACCACTCAACTCAAGATGAACAGGAGATCTGAAGGGCACAACACAACTATAGAAGCCTAAAGAATTACCGGCACTATTCTGGGGCTCCTTGTTCTAATTATAGTGTAGTCTGCCATAAAACCCGACTCTGATTATTGAGGTACCTATTATATTCGCCGTATATTATGGCAGCCTAACCCATAGGCCCCATAGTAGTTCCTTTTTTGGGATTACCTTACAGGATTCTATATATGAACCCCAAAAAGGAACTACGTTAGGGCCTATGGGAAGCCGCCTTCGCTCCCTTGCAGGGCGAGGCACAGCGCCAGAAGCGTGAGCAAGACCTGGCGAGCCTCGGGGGCCGCGGTGCCAAGCGGAAGTGTCCCTGTGCCTCCCCAGCTGAGCCGGCTTTCAAGAGGAGCCGAGGCACCTAACATACAGGCTTGAATGAAGTATAATCTGCACCAAAACCCTGCTAGAATGATCAAGGCCCCTGTAAAGTTGCATGACAGTGTCCTACTTGACACGGATCAGTTTTGCTCCGTCGAAGTCTTGTACAGCTCAGGGAGTATCTGCCTAGCATTCGTGCCGGGGCGGCTTTTCTAAGATTGGCTGTGGCCGATCTTGATGCAAGACTTATTGCAGGCCTCAGAAATTTTGGAACTCGAAAGTTTAGGGCTCAGGGTTTAGGGAATGGAAAGCAGCTTGTTTGGGTTGAGGGCGTGGCGATCTGAGGTTGGAAGCTTGGGGAAGCACTTACTAGCCCCGCCATGCACTCTCCGCGGAACACTCCAAACAACATTAGCTACAGTAATTCATATTTTATTGTAGTATATTGTCGTATACATAGTATGTTAAAGTATACCATACTAGAAAAGACCACAATATGCTACAGTATGTTACATTTTCCTATGTTACATCATATCATATCATGGCCCAGGGGCCGCAGCGTTGGTTTTGCTGGAGCCGAGGCTTCGGCGGATTCGAGGGCGAGCCCGAGATCTCAGCAATCGCAGGGTTTTTCGGTTCCAGGTCTTGCGGGATCTTGCGGGCATCCGCGAGTTTCAGGATCGAGTGCTTTCGGGTTTAGGGTTTAGGGTTCAGGGTTCAGGGTTTAGGGTAGAATTTTTCAGGACACCTGGGTGGAAGGTGGAGAGGTTTGGGTGCCATTCAGGGCCCAGACTTGGGGCTGCGCACCTGTTACTTAGAACTTGGCTTCTCCGCTCTGGCTTGCCACCCCCCCCGTCGGGTGGTAAGGGTGGTCGCCTCACATATTTAAGGCTGCGACTAGTGCGTGAGCAACTTGGGTGTTTGCATGATTTTTTCGGTTTAGGGGCCGCTGCTTGTTGAAGCTTCCGCATCCTGAACAGATTGGGGTTCCGAGTCTGCAGAGTCCTTTCGAGCTTCTCTGTATCAGGGGGCGTTCGGGAAGCCACAGAGGGAGAGGCCGACACCGAGCTTGCGCCAAAGATCATCAAGCACAAGGGCCTAGAGCCTATGACCCCGAGCAAACCCTAAGCATCATCATCCGTGAAAACCCTTGAACCCCAAAACGTCATCAACCATAAAGATCCCGTAGTCACCCAGAGCCCTAAACCCAAAAAAACACGATGACATACATTATGCATGATGAATCACAAAGACCCCCTAGACCCTAAACCCTAAACCTAAACCCATACACACCGTGTATTGAGAGTGTCAAGCCGACCCGAGGCCGTCGCTCGAGGAGAAGCCCCTGGCATTGGTTGGACAAGGATGAAAACATGTCCGCTCATAAAGCCGTGTATAGGTTTAGGGTTTAGGGTTTAGGGGTAAATATAGATGTTGGAACAGTTAGGAAGAGTATGCCCTTGCGGCCCCTACATACTACTAGTAGTAGAAGTGCACCACGACACCCCGTGCGAATTCTTGAGACCTTTACGGCTCAGGGGGCAAGTCCTGCACGGTTGCAGCGGTCTTTGCAAGCGTTTTCAGAAATTCCATAACATATGTGCAAAGCGATGTGGTGAAGGAGCACCGCAATGGGATCGCTGTGTCGACGATGACGCGTCCCCAGCTTGCAGATCGAAGCGCGTCCGCTATCTTGTGAACATAAACCCAAAACTGGCCCTAAACCCTACACCTTAAACCCGAAGCCCCACCCCCCTTTGTCCTAAACCGGAACCCAAAGCCCTAGTGGGGGTTTACACCCCAAAGCCGCCGAAACCGAAGCATTTGGGTAGTTGTTTAAATTATGGTCCCTTCTTGGGTCCTTATTATAATACGGCACCTGTTATTTAGGGTACCCCTAAACCCTAAACCCTAAACCCTAAACCCTAAACGTATGAGGATTCCACTGAGGCTGAAGCAGAGGTTGTTGACTAGGTGTGTCTTTTAGTGCACGCTCAATGAGCGAGCCTTCGACATCTTGCGGGAGAAAGGGGGCTACTGCATTTTTTTAAAAAAAAACCCTAAACCCTAAACCCTAAACCCTAAACCCTAACTTAGAGAACTACCCATTTCCAGGTCTGGGTCCGAAGCTTCTCCAGCGTTCGGCGGGGCGCTTTTTCGGAGGACCGCTGTTGCAAGTAGGCTTTAGGGTTTAGGGTTTTAGATGTTTAGGGTTTCAGGGTTTAGGGTTTAGGGTTTTAGATGTTTAGGGTTTCAGGGTTTAGGGTTTAGGGTTTTAGCTCGACTGGGGTCTTTAAGGGTGGCCTTTCGAAGAGTACTGCTCTACTCTCCCTGTGAAATTTATGATTACTACGAAATTACTATGACTATTTGCTACTCTTACTATGAAATTTGTTATTCCTATGAAATTATACTATTATTACTATTGCTCCAAAGGGTGACTGCAGTCTTGGCCTGCCCCTGCCTGATCTTCAGGAGGACCTGGCGAGGCACGTCTCGGTGCCACAACTTTCACGGAAGTGAGGTTGCCTACGCTTCCACAGGAGAAACCTGGGTAGTTATCTAAATTAGGGTCCCGTTTTGGGTCCCCAACATAGTACGGCACCCTTATAAAAAGGATCCCAAAAGAGACCCTAATTTAGAAAACTACACATCTCGTGTTTTTTTGGCCATGACAGTAGCAACGAACGACACCAGCATTGCTTCTGCATGCTGCATGCTTATGCTGACGAGGTTTTCCATGCCAATAGTGAAACATGTCAGCAAGAATCAGCAACGAGGGCAATATTCGCATGTTGCACGTGATGCTTTCCCTGACAAGTGTCCTTCTCTCCTAAACCCTAAAGCCCGCAAGCCCTAAACTTACCCTTAAACCCTAAGCCAGCAAGAACCCTAAACCCTAAACCCTAAACCCCAAACCCAAGCATGGAGGTGGTGGGAAGTCGCACTGGATCAGACGCCCTGGGAACGCCCAAGGCAAATCTTCGGGGTCTTAATTTCCTGGTTCGAGATCCGAATCAACAGTGTTCAGGAGTGTTGGGGATTTAGGGGTTTGGCGGTGAGGGGTGAAGGGTTTAGGAGTTTTGGGGGTTGGGGGTTTAGGGGTGAGGGGTGCATGGTTGAGGGATTTATAGTTTTGGGATGTTTTGGGGTTAAGGGCTTAGGGGTTCTGGGGGTGAGGGGTTCAGGGTTTAGGGTTTAGGGTTTGGGAGGTGTAGAGTTTCGGGTTCTGCGTAAACATCAAAGTGACCCGAAGGCAGCTTCTGCCTCCGGAGTCCCGAGTTCTCTGCACACGGCATGCCGGGCGTGCGTCTGATTCTGGCTTAGGTTGCTACTGGAGCAGTTCTAAATTAGGGTCCCTTAGGGTCCTTGTTATAACGGTGCCGTATTATATTGGGGATCCCAAAAAGGGATCATAATTTAGAGAACTACCCACTGCAGTCGCCGAATGAGGTTCGCTTCGGAAGTTGTCTCAAGTTGAGCATCAGGACAGCCAGAGAACCAACAACAGGCACCTCGGCGGCACCAACAGCATCAGAGGGGACAACAGCACAGACAGCGGGAACCACGACAGAAACACATCAGGTGCCGCAGAAGCATGTTGATGACAGACCCGAAACTCTGAAAAACTATGAACTCTAAACCCTGAACCCTGAACCTTGGCTAGGGTACGCGGCGGGCGCCAGCTTCCACGTTCAGCAGCCTGGCCGGAATCCTAGCAGTCAGCTTTGGTCGAGCACGGCTTGGTGTCTAGGGTTTCAGTTGCAATTTTTGTCCGGGCCGTCCTTGCTGCGGTTGTCGTTGGAGCTGCAGATATGGATGATTGGAGCGATCCGTTTTCTTGCATACCCCAGACAGAGACTTCAACAATCGGCGCTGGAGAGGGCAGTTCCGGCAACAGCCTGCAGGGGCGGCCCGCCACAATTCGGAAACCGGCACGCGCACGAGAAACCGTCAGAAGGTGTCGCAAGCAGCATTCTGCGGCCAAGTGTGCTTACTGGAGTGGCTCTTGCAGCTCCATGATCATGTCCAGTCCAGGTTTGTGAAGAAAGAATGCTCGTGCTGCTACGAGTACAATGGGACTCAATGGCAGGGCCCTTGGCTGTGCTTCACCCGAAAAGCAGCAGGAGCAACACCACACCCGCAGGCAGGTTGTATGCGACGGCGCAAGGAAGAATTGCAACAGCCAGATAAAGAACCCCTGCAAGAAGACCAACATTACTAAGACGGCAATGCAGCAGACGATCGAGTCCACAGTACATAAGAAATCATAAGAACCGGGGTGTGTTAAACACCCAGGCAACACGCATCACACCATCCCTACCATCCTGTATAAGTCGTCAGGGTTGTGAAAGCAACCACCTGAGAGTGATAATGCCGGTTTCCGATAGGTGGGAGAGCAGGGGCATCGGGACGTTGGCCCGTGCTAGTGCTCACAATTAAGTGCTGGAATATGTGCACACAGTCATTCGTAACTCTCGGCCGTTGCTGAAAACTGCAACTTATTCTGAGTCAAAGCTTTAGCTGTGCGTTCAAGGCCTTCGGTTGAATTCCCTGACTGGCTGCTGGAGGCAAGCGGTGTTTTAGGGGCTCCGACGGTGACCTGCAGCCAGACGATTGTCCATAGAACTTCTCGGTTTGTATATGGTCGTCATTGCACGAACATCATAGTCATGATTAGCGGGAACGGACACGGCCAAAACAAGGATAACACATGAAGCACGGGTGGGCGTACTCGGTCTACCACCCGTGCTTCACTCTTGGTGATGATGATGAAGATCAAGATGAAGATGGTGGCGGATGATTATTGAGTTGAGGCCATGACAGCAGTGGTGCTGGACAAGTAGCTGCCAGTAGATACGTGTGCATATACTACATTGATACACCATATATCTGTGAAAATACACTATATGTATATTTATTCATTGACGTATTCAATTATTCCTTCATTTATTCGTTCCTTTATTGATTATACAGTGAATAAATAGTAGATAAACAGATAAATATGTGTATATATATATATGTGTATATGTATACATATATATATATATATATATATGTGTATAAATATATGCTTCTGTGCACATCGTTAGCTCTGCAGACTCTACAGACTCCGAAGGTAGACATGTACACACAAAGACTGAGAGCCAGGTGGAGCAGGCAGTCTGGGCGGTGCTACGTGAGGGCGAAGGCATCCGGCACTGCGGCGGCTTGAGCTTCTCTGCGGATGGACAGACCTCGTATCCGCTGCAGGGGCCGCGGACATTCTTGAACCCAACTCGTGCGTCGCCAACTTCTATGCAGACGGCGCCCAGTCCGTGGTGCTGCCCTCAGCTGCATATGCTTGCAGTGTATAGCAGGGGGCATGCAGGAGGCAGGCGTGTGCGTCGCTTGCAACAGGATTGGCACGCGGACAACGAACCCTTGTTCGAGGGACTTCTCCGCGACTGCCAGGAGCTGAGCTCTTGTCACCACCATGCCAAGACGTCGTCCAAGCTTCTGGAAACTAGAAGGCCCACTAAGACTTACGACTTGAACTTCACAGACGGTGGTATTCAGACGTGCACAGACACTCAGTGGGGGAGAGAGCGAGAGGGAGAGGGAGAGAGACACAGAGGGAGACTAACAGCTTGGGAGCCATATCTTTTTATGGCCAGTACAACTTTCACTCCCTCCTACAGAGCCCCTAAATAGGGGTGCACCTGAGGCGCGGGTTGATTCAGATGCCTTCTATGCCCCGGAGACTAGACAAGACAAGAGGTCAACAAACATACACACACACAGTACACAAACGCAATGTATATATATATATATATATATACATCGATAAGTACAGGTATGTGTGCATGTGTGTATGTAGCTATACATACAGATTTATAATCACACACACACACACACTTGCTCCTTTGCGCATGCATATTCATATCTTATAAAAAACACAGATATGCCCTAAACCCAAAGCCCAAACCCAAAACCCCAAACCCTAAAACCCCAACCCTAAAGCCCAAACCCTAAACCCCGAACCCTAAAGCCCAACCCCCAAAGCTCAGGTCAAATTGTGAGCCTCTCCCTTGGGGAGGTGCGATGCCCCAGTCGTCCTTGAGGCAAACTCCAGATATAGGGGCCTCAACAGTTCGAGTGGGATTCCTTTTGAAGGTTCCTTAAAAGGGTTTCACACAGTTCTTCTTTTGAAAGGGGTTTCGCGCGGGTTTATAGGGGTTTACGGCTTAGGGTTTTGAGGTGTTTGGGTTTTGGGGCTTATAGGATTTGAGGCCCAGTTTAGGATTCAGGGCTCAGGGTTCGGGGTCTTAGCCTTCACTCCTACATGCACGACCTCTACGTACACTCCGACCCTTTCGCCCTGAACCCAAGCCTCAACCCAGACACTCAACCCCCCCAAAACTTCAAACAAGAACCTTCACATCGAAGTCAAATCCGGAGCCCTTAACCCGGTGGCTGCATAAAAAAATAGCCCGCTGGCTGTGAGCTCAGACCCGACGTTTCGAGCTGCGACGGCGAAGAGATCTGAGCCCACGGCTTGGCTTCGGGTTTTTGGGTTTTGGCTCCACGGCTTCAGGTTTGGTGCTTCACCTGGGGTTTAGGATTCAGGGTACTACCCTCAATCCTAGCCACCCTAAGCCTGAATCCTTAAACCGGGTTTGGGTTGAGGGTTTGGGGTTTAGGGTTCAGGGATTAGGGTTTAAGGGCTTACAGTGCAGGGTTTGGGGTTTAGGGGTTTAGTGTTTGGGGTCAGTTATTACTGTTGGGAGTTAATCTGACAGCGACAAGTGTTACATATTGCTCTGCTGTGGTGGTTAAGTATCCTGGCAATATCTTGTTGTTATTGCTCCTCGATTGTTATTGCAATCATCACTGGACTCTTTCTGGTTATCTGCCCTTTACAGTACCTATACAGTTTCTATGTGACAGACACTTCGGCGAGCTCTCTAATTATTTTGGCCACTCGAAGCCGTGGCCAGGCAACCCACTGAAGCACTGCGATCGAGTTGTGCTGGACCTCCATGACGGGGACATTGTCACGATGGAGGCAGAATCGATCAGTGACGGGGATCATCTGTCCATGCACTGTGGCCTCGCATGACTCGTGCGATGACGGTGTTGACAACTAGACTTTGAATTACACAGCAGTATCATCGGGTCGTGTATGTGAAACTGAATTCCAAGTTGCAGTTGAAAAGTTCGCCGAGCTCAGTCGGCCAAGGGCATCGCAGAGTGTCCTGCCGCAAAATCAGACCAATGGCAAACGCAGCATCTTCTGATAAAAGGCCGCAGCAGACAGGCTTCGATGCCGCATTCACCCGTGTCACCGCTTGTTCAAGTGACCCGCTCGATTTTGGATTCAGGGTCTCGGCTTTCCAAAGGCAAGCAGCTTGATGAAGTTTGCGCCTGGAGGGCTGCTTCCAGAAGCACTGGTACCATCGAGTCCCCCGGCAGCCGGGAGTCATTGCGTGGGACACCCAGCTGAAGCTTTCTCCAACTATCCGCAAATTGGACCTCCTTTTGGGGATTCCTCGGGTGTAGCCGCAATGCCACGGCCAGCTCATGCGCAGATCGATGTGTGGTGATTTCAAGCTTGAAGCGAAGTGTAAGTGTGGTGCATGAGCCCGGGATTTGTTGGATCATTTTCGGAGCTGTTGCAGAAGACTGCAAGGGCACATCGGGGCGGGGGGATGTTTGCTAGGCTAGAAAAAGTTTTGAAAAGGTATTGAAACTAGAACCCCTTCAATCAGAATGCTGAAGGCCTCGGATCAATCTCACTTGGCGCACCATCACCTGCCATTCCGTGCCACGGCAATGATTCAGCCGTTCCGGGATCCTGGGTCGGGTTGACAGTTCTAGGGCCATTCTAGGGCTTTAGCCGCCTCTTCAAACCTGAAGCGACGTGATCATCGAGAAGTGTGGAAGACGTGCTTTTAATTTCCTACCCCTGCCTGTTCCACGGGCAAGGCCCTGAACCGTGGCACAGCACGTACGTTCTTTCCCTCTTCAGGGCAGAGATGTCGTAGGTTCACGAAGGCTTGCAGTTAAAAGTTTCATGTGTTTGAAGCTACTCACGAGGCAGGCTGTGCGATGCACGTGGCTGCTTGACTCCAGCCTGGGTCAACGGCATCGTACGCAAGGTCGCTCTGCATGCTGTCGCGCAGAGAGTCCCATGTCACAGGGTCGTGAGACCGGCAATTCCACCAACCATTGCCAGGCCTTCTCGACTTCGTCGCATTGGCACATCTGGCACCCTGTGGAGTCTCGGAAGTGGGAAGCCTGGTATCGCAATGGCACAGAAGCCCGCTTGAAGATGCCATGAAAGGCGCTGGACGTCGAGGAGTTGTCTCGAGACGGAACTTGGGTTAAAGGATCTTCCTTTGTCACATCTCGCGTCGGCCACCTGGTGGAAGTTTGGAGCTTTTCCCAGATCAGGCGGCTCACGCCGAAGACGGCTGAAGACGTTGGGTGGGCATGCCGGAGCTGCGCGAGGAGCACGACGTGAGCAGCGCACCCCTCGCCACATGGTCAACGTTGACAAACAGCTGTACTTGACGATCTTCGCCGGCAGCCCCCCCACATCCTGTTCTCACTTGAATTGGCAGCCTCGTCCGTGACCCATACAAGAAGCACCTCCGCAGGTGTTGACGACGCTGAAAAGAGCGAGTGTGCCCCCTTGACTCATGACTCATGCAGTCGAGCAATAGAGAAGAGCCGTAACGAGCGTTGCCACCATGCATCGGGTCGTTGAACAGACCATGTGAAGGCTGTTTCTGGCTTTGTGCCTGCCATTGGGTAGTTTTACTTTCGCGGCCTCCATTCCCAGATCGTTCGACTGCACTCTACCCTCGTAGGCACCTTCGCATCTGACATGCCCTGAAGACAGGTCACAAGGTACATCCTAAACCCTAAATCCTAAACTCCAAACCCTAAACCGTTACATGCGGTTAAAAGCCGCCGAAAGTGCTTTGAGCTGGCCTTCATCGCCCATTCGTGGTTCCAGTCCTTCGCCATGGTAGTGCAGCGTCCTCTGTGCCTCGTGCCCGAGGCTTGCTCGGCGTTGATGTTGCTGGCTTGAAGTTTAGGGGGTTTAGTTTAGGGTTTAGGGTTTAGGCAACAAGCCTAGAAAAGTAGCAGCATTGCCAACACATCAGTTAGAATCTAGGACCTGGGGACAACAGTCTTTGACCAGCGCTCACTTTTTTCCCCCAGCTGACTACGGGCTCTCCATGCACGTCAGGGCGTCAGGGTGCGGGTCAGGGGGGAGATCGAACGGCTCTCTATTGACTCCGTAGTGGTGTTGTGTTGTGCCAGCTCTGTGTGCTGATAGAATCAGAGCAGCCGTGCTTCCTTCAAAGGCCTACAGGCCTCCACTCGGGTAGTTCTCTAAATGAGGGTCCCTCTTCAGGTCCTTTTTTATAAGGTTGGGGACCTATAAAAAGGGACCCTGAGAACTGCCCCCTCTATGACCCGAAGCCCGATAAATGGACCCTGAAGTCCTGAAGAGAGCGAGTCCTCAGCAGAGCGCCGCGATAATACCGGTGGTGGCTTTTTTGGCGAGGAAGAAGCTCGCCAAGCAACAGGCCGAGACTGGGTTGGTTCATGTGGAGCCGTTTACCTGCGGTGAGAAGTTGAAGTTGTTTTTTGGTATCGGTGGTATTTCTGTGTTCAGGAGTGCAGAAGCATGGCAATCTCATGTCTCATGGCCTAGAGTGGGTGTTGAGGGCCTGAAAGAGATCAGTGACAGGTAATTACGACGTACACGGCACACTCCAGGAAAGCAAGATTGCTGGCGGGCGTATGGCACAAGACATCGAGACCGAAGCAAACCGCTATATAGTTTAATGCAGAATAATACACTACGATAATATATTTCCATTATTTCAATATGATATAACATGATAAAGCAAAACATGTTATCCTCATATGATATGAGACAATACCACATAATACAATGTGGAGCAGCATAGTATAGCATGCTCGAATACAGCACAATACAGTACAATATGGTACAGTGTATTCTAGCATACTATTATAGTATAAATGTACACGAGACAATACTACGGAATACTGTACATGGCAACATGATACAGTATAGCATAACATCGTATTGTCGTATTTTACGCAATATGTAATGCACAATGAAAGAGCGTAATCTCACTTAGATTAAGTTTATTTGGTATAATGTAATATAATATCATATAATATAGCACAAAATAGCATAATATATTATAATATACTACAATGTAATATGCTGTGTAAATTAGTGCAATATAATATAATATAACATAATATAGTATCAGGTAATATACTCTAATATGATATCATATAGTATTATATATTATACTAAAATGTAATATACTATAGTACAGTATAATATAGTATAGTATAGCCTATTATAGTCTAATGTAGTAGAATATAGCATAATATAGTATAATATCGTATAATATAGTATGGTATGATAAAACGATGGAATATATTATAATATAAGACAACATAAATTATAATATATTATATCTTATGACATACTAAAATAAAAATATGGTATAGTCTAAAAAAATAGAGCATAATATAGTGCAATATGCACGAATAAAAAACAGAATAGAATAGACTATACTGAATACAATTGTGTACTATTAGATCATATTGTATACCGTTACTACTATTATATGGTACAGTTTACTGAAATATACCGCAATCCAACGAACCATGACATGTTACAGTTGTTTCTAAAGCGAAATAAAATGTAACACAATTTCACATCGCACAGCCGAGCACATTAATATAATATTTTTCGATTTAATGCAGTGCGATACAAATTAATGCCGTATACTACAATACATTACAGATTCTAATCGACTATACTTCATTACAGGGAACATACGACGATTTCGTACAAACTAAACAACAGATAATATATTATGGTACCATGACAACGTAGCCCCGCAGTTTCCAGGCTTCCGGCGCTGCACTTCCTAGTGTTGTGCCTCACGGCCTCACATGTGTTAGGAAGCAGGGCGGAGTGGTGAAATGACTCATTTAGGTTTGCTTGCAACCTTAGCATATGATACAATACAATATAGTATATTACCATATACTATACTGGTAAGCTAGACTATGGCTTATGCTACTCTAATATAACATACAAGCTGTGCTCAAACCGGCAGGTATCGTTTTTCCAGCGCCGTGAGGCTATGTCCTGGGACTTAAGCCTCGAGGAGAGGACGCCAAAGGAGTGAACTCCCGTGCCTGGAAGTTGAGTGGCCACTGAAGACGTGGCATGAGAGACCACAAAAGCAGTTGATGTCTTCAATCAGAGATCCCCGATCAAGGCCATACGTGGCCACCACGTTCAACCTCAAGAGTGAGGAAGCGTGAGGCGTCCAAAGCACCTACCACTCTGGTGTTGTAAGGTAGCCGAAGGCCCAATTAAGGCCCTCAATGATTATGTAGGACAAGTGCCAAATTCTTGTCGGCGGCGTCCAAGCAGGGCAGTATCGCACCGTTGCACTTCGCATGCATGCTGAAGACACCGGCGCGGTTCCTCCGCAACCATTCCTCGCGTTGATCAGCAGAGCTCACGCAATCCGCGTCACTTCTCGAGCTCTTGTCCTGTGGCACCAGGCCCTGAACCCCAAATAAGCAAAGGCCACAGCGAAGGCCTGCTTGCAAAAGATGCCATTCCTGCCCAAAGAGGGCATTTGACCTTCTGCGATCTTCCTCTCTAAGAGCAAGATGTCCGTGCAAGACGTGTCCGGTCACGGTCTATCCGCTTTCGCTGTGGAAGTTCACGTTTCCACGAAGGTTTTCCCCTCCGTCCCGCTGTAAGGTTGGACGAGTGGAGCTCGTGTGATGGTGTGACGGGTCCGGACTGCACAAGTGGCGTCAACATCAGAAGTGTGAGGGTAAACCCTAAACCCTAAACCCTACACGAGACTGCTCCCTAGGTGGTCTGTTCAGAGGTACGGCGAGTACCTATGTTACAGTGTAAGCTCCGGATGGAGCAAGCCTGGACAGGAGAAAGAAGGGCTACTACACTTAAAAAAAAAACCGTGTAGGGTTTAGGGGCTTTTGGGTTCGGGCCCCAGAGTCTGTGTGGCA